ACCGAGATCAGAGAGAGTGAGACCTGGGCCCAAGGTCACACAGTAAATTACACGCAGAGCTAGAATTAACACCCTGGCTTTGTGACTGCTCATTTCATTTTAACTTAGTACTCTATGAGGTTTCTTATCTTCACTAGGGTAATTTCAAAAGGCAAAGTAGGGGGACAAATTTTTCCCATATTTGTTACTAAACAAAGAAAGTTAAGAAAACTGTATGTTAAATGCTTGAATAAAAACTAATGAAAAACAGGGGGTGGTGGCACACGCCTGTAATCCCAGCAGCTCGGGAGGCTGAGGCAGGAAGATTGAGAGTTCAAACTCAGCCTTAGCAAAAGCTAGACACTAAGCAACGCAGTAAGACGCTGTTTCTAAATAAAATATAAAATAGAGCTGGGGATGTGGCTCAGTGGCCCAGTGGCCCTAAGTTCAATTCCCAGGACCCACCCTCCAAAAAGAAACCTGAAGAAATTAGAAATAGAATCTTAAGTGAAGAATATCACAAGACGAGCAATAAGATGTGCTGATTGGAGGAGATGTGAATTAGACAAGGTTTGTGTGGATCTGATTGCTAAAGCCTCCAAGAGCATCACTATGAGCTTGTGTGCAGCCCCCAGGGCTCCATCACATACACTGAGGACATGGATAATGGTAGGCAATGGGCCCAATCCAGAAATGACCCCTTGGACTTTCTCAATATAGTAGTCCACCAACGGGAAATACAATAGATGTCAACATACAAAAAAAAAAAAAATTTTTTGAGAAAAAGATTTTTTTTTCAAAAATTCTTTTTTTTTTTTTTTTTTTTTTTTTTTTTTTGGTGCCAGGGATTGAACCCAGGGGCACTTAAACACTGAGTCACATCCCTAAACCTTTATATTTTTTGAGACAGGATCTCACTAAGTTGCTTAGGGATTTGATAAGTTGCCAAGGCTGGCTTTGAACTTGCAATCCTCCTGCCTCAGCCTCCCAGACCTCTGGGATTTTATAGGTGTATGCCATCACGCCCAGAGGCTTTCAACAATTTGGATCTAATTTAGCCTCTCTTACCTCTGGTTTCCAGCAAGCCAAAAATATACTGCTGACATTACCCAGGAGAAAACGGAGCAGAAGAATCATGATCTATTACTCCACTGTGGTGACCAGCTTCTCTTCTACCTTTCTAGCCACTTTGGAAACTGCTTTGAATTTCAGACAAAAATCTCCAAAAAATGGTAAGAGGTTTTTGGACTTTGGTGAGTGACCAGCTTTCCTGACCTGTATCATTTTGAGCCTGGTAAACCAAGGCTGCTTCTTATCAAGTTCAAATGGAAGCTGGGCTCCATCGTGGGGAGGAGGGGACTTAGCTCTCTGCCAGAACTCTTCTCACCTCCAGGAATTCCCAGAGTGGGTTTCAAATTTCCTTGAATCAAAGCAGGAAGGCCCACAATCAGTTTGAAATCAAGGGTCAGGGTTGTCCTTCTTTATCCTGTGTGTGTTATTGATTTCCTTATAAATACTACTTACTTCCTCTCCTTCAGGGTTTTACTTAAGTATTAAGATGGGATTTCCTTTACAGCTTATTCTTTTTTTTTTTGGCAGCAATTGTTCTTGAACCTGAATGCACATCAGAATTATCAGAGTACTCTTTTGAAAAAGCACGGATTCTAGGGCTCCTTACATGGGTCACTGAATGAGACCTGGGAATCCTTATGTTTTAAAAGCTCCCCAGGTAATTCCAATGCCCGGGCTTTAATATTCCAGTTATATTTTCCTTCCCTCCTTCCTTCCTCTTTTCCTTCTATCTTTCTTCTTGGGTTGCCCTGAAAATCCAAGAATCACAAACAATAGTTCTGGAAGAGAGACAACATTCTCTACATCAAGGCAAACACCCAGGTAGGAATGACATTTCAGAAGAGAACAGGTCCGTGAACCTGGCTCTTCTGGAGCAGCTATTGATTAATTGTAAGGCATCTTAGAATTAGAAAGGTGGTTATGTTCTTTTTTCTTGAAGGTATTTAGGGAAACAGACATACGTCTTAGTGAAAATTCGCATACTTTATTTGAAAGCATGCAAATTTATCTTTATCATATTTGAAATGGTCCAGAGATAAAGACAAACCCCAGATGTACTGGAAGTTCTGCATTAGGTAACTATCATCTTTTCTTTTTCTAAATGATTTCATGCACAAATTTCCTTTAATCTTTCCTTGTGGGAATTTTACCTGTTCTTTGATTACTATTCTCTGTTCTTCCTTCAGTTTCTTCAATCTACTGTTGGTTCAACAATGAGGACTGAAATACCTTCAGGGAATAACTGGACTCAGATACTTTACAGTTTGAAAGCAGTTTATGTCTCTTTAGGAGTATTTAATTTATTGCTTGCAAGTGACTTAGACCAGCAGGCCCCAACCAAAACATCTACCAATTAATATTTTACTTCAAACAAAGAAAGTTTCCTTTGAAATTCCTTTATTTAGTGATCTTGCCACATCCAATTAGATAGTTTCTGAAATTCCCATTATATAATGATCAAATTCTGAAACTGATCCCAAAGCCACTCATTTTCTGTCTACTTTCCTCTTCCTTCCCTCTGTACTATTGAGTTGTTTGAGTGTGTCTTCTTTCTTATTAACTGGCTTCTCTACAGTTCTCTCAGGCTGCTCGGTTCTCCCTAACAGTTTTCACTTCAACCATCATGTATCAAAGGCAGAAATATTCACCCCCATTCTTCACCCTTTTCTGATCTGTGTTTCTTCCACTAAAAGCTGTCTGTCTCCTTCCCTGGATTGTGGGCTTGACCATGGACTTGCGTTAGCTAAGGGTGTATAGACTGTTCTGAGCATAGGCCTTGCTTCTGTTGCCATAAAAACAGAATAACAGCAACCTATCAATGAAGAGAAAATAAGAGTAGACACATCCAACCTGCAGTTTAGAGCCACTTAGCTAAAACTGGAAGCCTGCAGGGTCTGCAGCCAATCCCACAGATTCTGTAACTGCAGGGTGTCTACGTTTACCATGAGCCCTACAGTCAACTCTGCCCCACTCTAGGCAGGTGTCATAGGGGACCAAGTGACCTCTACAGGAAGAGGGAGAGGAGATCCTTTCTTCCCTTGGGACTAAAGATGCTGAAGGCTGTACAGGTTGAGCATCTCTAATCTGAAAATCTAAAATTGAAAATGCTCCAGCATCTGAATCATTTTCAACACCAAGATGACATCACAAGTGGAAAATTCCATACCTGACCTCTGGTGATTCAATGTACACTAAACTGTTTCATGCACAAAATTATTAAAAATATTGTATGGAATCACCTTCAGTCTATGAGTATAAGGTATATACACAAAACATAAATAAAATTTGAGTTTAGACTTGGGTCCCATCCTCTAGATATCTCATTATGTATATGCAAATATTTCAGAACTTTAAAAAATCCCAAATCTGAACACTTCTGGGTAAGCATTTTGGATAAGGGTTATTGGGCCTGTGGTAGAGAAGATGCAAGACGAGGGGAAGCAAAAACTGACTCTGAGGTAGGAAGAAAGTCCTCAGGAGATGATGCCCACAGCGGCCCTGCTCTGGGCACATAGCTCATCCCGAGCACCCAATTCCTGTTTGGCTAATGCCTGGCAAGGCCAGTACAGGGGCTAAAATGTTCCCAGAATCTGGGCTTCAGCACCCACCCCTTTAGTTTATTGTGATCTAATTCCTTCTGGCCTGGACATCCAACTCTTAAATGAGCTCAAACAGTTTGTCTTCATGCACTGAGTGAGTTCTTTATCCTCAAAGGTAAAAAGAGATTTCCTTTATCTTTCTGAGTATGATCATGCCCACCCGAATAGTAAACCTGTCCCTAATATTACACCTCATTTCAATGGTCATTCAGCCAAAACTGAGTCATTTTAAGAATCTGGCCTCCATATGGCATGGCTCAGTTTGCAGATAAGATTTAATACCTACTGGACCATGATGACAACATATTCAGGCTCAGGCCACAATGAAGTGGCTAATTTTGTTCGAAAAGTTCATAAAACTAATTTTATTCCTATTTCACAAATCTGTCTTCATTTTTTTCCCCCTGCCTTCTGCCAATAACAACACCTACTCTTTCTCTTATATATAAGTACATATTGCATAAATGGCTGGTAACAGTTCAGCCATAACCTTTTTTGTATTCTAAGAAAATGTGTATATATGTATCATGTGTGTATATATGCTTGTGTGTATGTGCATACATGTACACACCAACTTTTTCTTGGCCTATTTCCCACACATATAAAGTTTAGCCAAGCTACTCTGAAAGCTGTTTAGGGGACATTAGGATCAAGCAAAATGGGGACAGAAGCTGAAGTATGTCTTTGGGGTTCTCTATCGAGACCCATGATTGCAACAGTTCCCAAGTGCAAGCGTACATTTCAACTCGTGGATACCCAGAAGTCACAAGCAGGTCACCTGTCTCCCAGAATGAAATGAGATCCATAAAGAAAGCAACCAGCCCTTGGAGTAGCACAAGTGGATAATGCAAAACGGACTGGAGGAGCCCAGGCACACAACCTACCTACAGATGCACCCTCACTTACCCTGCCCTAGGTAGTCTTCATTTCAACCCCAAGACCCTTAGCTACCATTTTCCCATTTCAAATTGATCTCCTGTAGCAAATATGCAAACAGACCCCCTGCTGGGGCAATAACTGCTGACAGCCTCATCCCAGGAGGAAAAAGACAAAAGCTGATAAAAGAACTCAAAATGGGGCAATCTGCAAAAGGGCAAGGTACTCGCAACACCTCACTGGCCCAGGAAGACATCACTGTACTTACCGTATTGCACCCCAATACAATACTCAGTACTCTGAGCAGTAACACTGGGTCATGGGGGAAGTTGAGGGACACCCTACGAACTCTGAAGCAAGGTAATTCTAAAGCGCTGGGAAAAGTGACCGCATTGGGAAAGGCCCCCTAGAGGCAAGAAGTGGTCCCTGCACGGCCAACCTCAGCCTGGGGCCCCAGGGCTGCAAACCACCTACCTCTGGATGTTATCCTCCAGCTGCTTGACTCTGAACTCATCCTCCTCAGACTGCCGCCGCCTGGCTTCCTCCTCTTCGGCAGTTCCAGCGGGGATACCCTGCAGCAGCCATTTTTCCCGAAGCACTTTGGACTGTGGGAATGAGGGAGGATAACAGACAAGATGACACCTTTCCATCCACATCCTGCTCTCCATGGCAGGGCGTGGCGTTTTAGCTCCGCCCCTCATCAGCTCCACCTGGATCGCTGCCTTCACCTCCTCACTGACTTGGCTCCCCATTTCCCTCCAGCCCAACCTCCAGCGGGTCGCCAGAGATATTTATTTCCACATTTAAAAAATTCTGTTAAATATTTGCTAAGAACCCACCACATGCCCAGCATTATTCTGGCTGCTAAAACAAATGTCTGTCCTTTTGCAGCTTCTACTTTAGTCAGGAGACAACAGACATTTTATATACACATAATAGACACTTACACACACCCACACACACATCAATGTACCTACTTTCCCCCAGATGGGGCTGCTGGGGAATGCAAGGGTTGGGGAGGGATATGGAGGGTGTTGCTATATTTATAGGGTGGGTCCAAAAGGCTTATTGATAGGTTACATTTGAGCAGGGACACAGTACAGAACCATCCACACTCTAATCTGGAGAAAGTGTGGCCCTGAGTGGTGTCTATTTTCTATTATTAAAAAGAAAAATCAAGTGAACTGTATAATAAATACCCATGTGATCTCATCTAGATTAAAGAATTATAAACATTATGCCATATTTTCCCACATGTTTTTCACCAAAGCATTTTAAAGTAAATATCAAACACCATGACATTTCACCCATCAATATTTCAGTATGAGTCTCTAAAAAAAGGACCTTTTTTTCTATGCAATTACAACTTCATTGTAAAATTTCCTAAATCATCCACTGTCTAGTCCAAGTTAAAGTGTTCTTTTAAAAAACTAACCTATGTTGTGTCTCTTCTTAAAAACTTTTTAATGACTCCAAAACCTCCCTGGCAGTGGTCCCCAACATTATTAAAAACATACCTCACCTTGCATAATATATTATGCAGTCCCTATGAGGACTCAGGGCACATGACAGATTCTTCCCAGTAACAGAGGCCAGTGAAGGAACAAAAGGAGTAAAAGCTAAGAGATCAGTCAAGGCAGAGTGAGGACTAGCTTCCCTAATTCCTTAGCATCACTTCTGTCAAGAAATTTGCGGTGGTGGGGGAAGGGATAGGATTATAGCTCAGTGGCAGAGCACTTGCCTAGCATGTGTGAGGCACTGGGTTTGATTCTCAGCCCCACATAAAAACAGACAAATAAAATAGAGGTCCATTGAAAACTAAAAAATTTTCAAAAAAATTTTTTTAGTCTGATTAAGTAGGATGAGCAGGGTAAAGGCCAACAGTCAGGGCAGGCAGACTCAGAGCAAACTTTTTGTAGCTCTAGTGAGCAAACCTTGCACAATTCCATAGACTCTCATATTTCTGTTGGACTGCAGGCTGCTTATTATGAGCCTATGCAAGGAGTTTTTTAAATTACCAGTATTTAGTAACAGTAATTTACAGTTCCCTAATGGTTCTGATTCACTATTCTACAGAGAAGTCCAGATGCCACTCATTCATCACCGTGGTGACCCTGCCAGATGCACAGTTTGGTCTAGAAACCCTGCATGTCCAGAATGGACCCTTTGTTAGCAATGCATCAGCAGAGGGTGTAAAGCCAGCCATGGCTTTTACTGGGGTGTGTGTGTGTTGCTATTTAATTATAAATCATTTCATTATAAATCATTACAGAGATCTGTTGGTCATTCTTACAGCACAGAGAGACAAATTTATAGCAACTGACCTGTAATTTTCCAATACAGATTTAAAGACATGTAATTTGTTCATATATAAGTGATTGCTAACTGTACTGCTAAAGTGATTGGCCACAGGGTGTACTTTACTATCCTGCCTCACCCAGGAATCACGTGTGTTTGTGTGTGTGTGTAGGGGTGGGGTGTAGTTAAGTGGTAAAACATATGCTTAGTATGTATGAGGCCCTGGGTTCAATCCTCAGTGCCAAAAAGCACCCAAATAAGATTAACAAAATCGGGAGGCACCACTGCCTTTCTCCCTAACCTGGATAACTACTTTCCAGCTTCTCCAATAGCATTTCCTTCTTGATAACCAACCCCATCCCTCAGTCCCTTGCAGTCAGTGATGCATTTTTCATTCATCTGTGAGACTGACATGTGAGGCTGCAGCTGGTCATAAGCACCTGCTGAAGGAATGACTCTGAACAGCCATGCCTTCACGCTGCATTTTAACAAACATAAAAATCCTCAACTAATACACCTAAAAAAGGCCTTTGAGATGAATTAACCCAATCTTTCTCATGTACGGATAAGGTAACTGATGTAAAGCCACTTTTTTGGGGGTGGGGTATGGGGGAATGAATCAGGGGTATCTGACCACTGAGCAACATCCCCAGCCTTATTTTTGTATTTTATTTACAGACAGCTTTTGCTGAGGCCGATTTTGAACTCGTGATCCTCTGGCTTCAGCCTCCCGAGCCACGGGGATTACAGGCATGTGCCACCTTGCCCAGCCTGAAGCCACTTTTGAAGGTGACCTAAGCAAACAGTGAGAAGTATCTGGAGCAGGTGGGTGGGGCAGGTGTGAAGGTCAGAGACAAATCAGGACTCACAAGTGTCTATTTTTTGATCAAGTTTAGCAATCCATCTTTCATAATTCTGGCATTGATGTCAGGCGTTAAGACTTCCTCACCGCTGCACTATAAAAATATTCATCTGTGTTTCATTCTGGAACTTTCATGTTTTGCCTTTCACCCCACCATTCACCTGTAATCTGGCTAAAGCTAACATCGGCTGCCACAGTGGATGATGGCTGGAATCGGGTTAATCGGGTTAAACTCAGGGTGAGGCAAAAGTTGTGTTTGCATTTTCAATCATTTTCTTGTGCCCCTACCTCTTCCCCTTCTCTCCTAACCCTTTTATTCTTTTCTTCCTCCTTTGTGCCACCTTATATGATCTTGGTTTAGTTCTGCAATTTTGTTAAATGATTCCCTTGACATAGGGAGATGCCAACCCAAGACTCCTGAAAGAAGAAAGAGAGTTTCACCTCCCCTCAAACTGTTTGTGGGGCCAGAGGACACCTGATGGGAAAAAGGAAAAGATGTAAAGTTCCTTTATATGGTGAGCTATGCTTATCTGTTGAATATTTACATTCAAAATCATTCTTTCACATGTACTAATAACCAAGAAAAGTCTCAAATTAGTGCCAAAAGTTCAAAATAGCAAAAGACTCTTTGCAGCAATGTTCCCGATGCCTTAGGCCAGCTCAGCAAATGACCTTGGTGGGCTGACAATAAATATTTCACAGGGTCATGATTCAGCCCTTCATCTTTTTCCCATTCAGTTGTCTCTACAGAAAAGACTGTGGCCTTTAAAATATAACCACCATTTTCATAGCTTGGGTTAGGAGAAAACTCTAGTTGGGGTTCCCTGCTCATGAATAAATCATTCAAAGGCAGCTTATGTATTGAAGCTGCAATATTAGCAATTTGATTCTGACAGTTCTGACGGTGTCAGACAAACCTTTACAAACGTGAAAGTCCCCACGGAGCACAGGTTGCAGCACTACAGAGCTCACACTCTGTGCTGGGACTTTAAACAGCCCAATAAAATAGACAAATCTCTGGCCCTTCAACCAAGAGGCAAAAGGGAATATTAAATTCAGTCTTCTCTAATGTAACACTGTAGTTGATTTATTAAAAAAAACTCACATGATCACAAGTCTTATTATGAAAACAATAAACAATAAATAATTGTTTCCATGGAATAAAAAACCAAGACAGTTTTTCAAAAGAAGAATGTTGATGGCTCTTGCCTTATGAAATATCTCAATATTAAAGAGCCGTGGGGATTAAGCAAGAATGGCACCGGCCCCCGGATGGGCACAGGGAGAGAACAAAGGAATCCATAAACAGTGGACTTGAGAGTAAGGGAGTATGTGATATAGACGACATTTAAATCAGGGAAGGAAAGGATGAATTAATCAGTAAATCAAGTTGAGACAAGTGGCTCATGATGAGGGAAATGTAGATTCTTACCTCATACCTTATGGGGAAATAAGTTCTAGGTGGGTTAAAACTACTGAAGTATAAGAAATCTCATAGGTAAATGTTTGAGATGGAAAATCTTCCAAGGATGACGTCCAAGTCAGAAAGCATGAAGTAAAACAAGGTTTGTTGTGATTTCACAAAAAAATCATAAATTTTTGTATGGGAATTTAAAGGAATCCACATGCAAAAATCAAAATAGAGGTAAAGGTTAATGTAACGAGGACTCTGATGTTAATATGATCTCATTTTACTAATGGCTGGTAAGGCCTGTAGACAAGGGTTACATATCTTAATCTATAAAGGTACCTTGCAGGGAAAGGATAGCAGCATACACCCCATGTGGGTTATATCTAGGTGGGGAAGATGCAGTTGATATTTTCATCTAGGTATGTTCTTATACGTTTAAATTGAGTTTTTGCAATGACCACACATTTCTTCCTTTTACAATAAGCAAGAACAATCCAGCAATCAAAATTGCTTACTGGTTCTATTTGTGTTTCTTGGGAATTCCTACATCATAAGTATTAGTTACTAAACAGAGCTAGGCATCTTCTAAAAAGAAATCTGAGGCTGGGTACAATAGTGCATGCCTGTCATCCCAGTTACTCAAGAGAATGAGGCCAGTCTGGGTAACTTAGCAAGACCGTGTTGCAAAATAAAATAAAAAGGGCTGGGGATATAGCTCTGTGGCAGAGTTTTTGCTTAGCAGGTAGGAGGCCCTGTGTTCAATCTCTAGCACCACTAAAAGAAAAAGAAAAGAAGGAATGAAGGAGAAGGAAAGGGAAAAAAGTCTTAAGTTTAATTTGGCCAGAAACTAAAATATTTTCAAGGTTTCCTAATCACTGTGGTGTAGCAGCTCATGTTTTAACATTTCATACTTTGGTCCTTCTTTGCATTAAGGAGTTTGCTCACATGTATAAAGTAATGATATTCCACTCCTTGAAGCTACTGTATATGCCTAAATATTGCAATGAGCAAATATATAAAACAAACATCAAAATATCAAAACTATGTGCCTTGTATTCTATTTATTTGCTTTGACAAGAGACCAGTGAATCTTTCTAAATAATTCATATCTCACTGCATGACAAGAAGTGTCCATAGACTACTTGATTCTCATATATAATTCTCATATGTGATTTACATATATGGAATATGAGAATTATATGAAGAATATAAGAATTACGTCTAAATAAAAAGGAAACCAAACTCTAATGGTTTTCCATTTTTCTTTGTACTTGAATATTTTTTTTTCCCTTCAAGAGCATCTGGGATTTTACAAAATTAGTGAAATTAGTAGTAATTACTGACATATTTCCTAATATTTTCTACTTAAGAAACCTACAATAATCACTGTGACAAGTCTCCACATAGTCTAAACTTTCTGGAGCCCACAGAAATATAGTTAGAGTGAAAAGACAGTGGTGACAACCATTGGCATCTTTCTAAGCAAATCATCATAAGGAAACAGTTGGAAGAGAAGAGTGTCCTGGGAAGAACCTGATCTTTGGAAGCAGACAGTCCTGGGGTTCAGCCTGGGCTCCCTTGCTTACAGTCTCTGTGTCCTTGAGCCAATTACTTGACCTCATGGATGTATTTCTGTACTTGTGGAATGGGGAGACCAACATCCACCTGGTGGTCACTATTGAGGACAGGCATTTAAAGTATCAGGCACATGCTGGGTATTCAAAAAATACTACCATAGAGGATAGATAAGAGGTTCCCAGGCTGCTGTACTGCCAGGACAGAGCTGGCTGGCTCTCCTCTGAGGCTCCCGGAGGAGGAAATACAACCCCAGAGAATCTCCTTCCATCCAGGGGTGAGGCCACCAAGCTGGAAACCTAACGATTCCAGGGAAGATGACTCACACTAGTCAAGTTCAGTCAACAGTCAAATGATTTGAAGTGGAACCCATTCCTTTCTGGTGTCTGAAGTGACCTCATCCCTCCATCAGGCCCTCTCTTCCTTCTATCAAAATAATGCAACTATTTTAAGGAGGATGGACTCAGATCAAAGAGTGGCAGAACCAGGAGGGAGGCGTCCCCTGGGCCACAGTGAGGCCTATGACACCTCTGGCCTTGCCAGCAACCCTTCCTCTCCAGGCACGGAAGCCCAAGACCTTTCAGAGCTGGGGGTCTCTCTCCAGCTGGTACAAGACACACGGTCACCTTTGGAACCTCTAAGCTCTCCTTTTTATTGTTCAAGGCTAACAATCCATCCTCATTATGTCCACACAAGCTTTCCCCAGAGAGAAGACAAGACAATGCACTGGTTTCCACTTAACTGGATTCAGTCACCTCTAGTCCTCCCACTCCAGACTTCTTGATAACGTGCTGGGTGCACCCCTAGATAGCCAAACTCAGGAAGAACCATCAGATTCCCTTGTTTCCAAGCCCCTGGAAGAACCTCATTGCTTACTCACACAAAACTCAGGCCTTTTTACTATTCTTTCTGTTGACTGGATGGATGGGTAGCTGACGGATCAACCGATCAATGGAGGCACAGATGAAGAATGGATAGAACATTCTAACACTGTGATGGACATAGGCAATGAATGAGTCTTTGGTATCTCGTTTGGCACCCAGAAAGATGAGAATGGGATAAAAGGAACCTGGTCTTATGACATATGTTCACTGCCTGATTTTTGGATTCAAAGAATGCGAGAGCAGAGATGAGCCTGAAGCTGGAGGGGAGAGAGGCTGTCTAGTCAAATCAGCCTCTCTGACCCATTGGGCTCAGCTCACCTTTTCACCAAGAGTTCACAGAGGTTTTAGTACATGTTAGCCTCTTACCGAAATGGATTGACTAATTGACTGTATTCTGAACTACAGATCCTGCCCTGTCCAGACTGACCTTGAGCAACTCACTCTGTTCTATCAGTGTTTTAAGTCCCCCTCTCTGGAAGAAGAGGATACTAATTTTAGTCTCAATCTTCCCTTGGGAATGTTGTCAGGAAAGAGTAACAACATATGGATCTTGTCAGGCCCTTACTTGAAAATGGATTTTCACAATGGACAGCATTCTCAGTATCATGCTGCGTTTCTCCCTTTTAAGCACAATTCTCTGGTTCAAGTTACTGGTAAACTGATAAGCATGCAAAGCAGATATAGGTCATGCTGCTCTTTGAAATCACCCACCAGCTTGCTCATGATTCTCATTTTGAGGATTCATTTAGCACAACCCTGTTTTCTAGAGAGGAATAGGAAATGCAACCATGAAGGTTCACTTTGTTTTAAAAATGTCCAAATAATCCCTACTTTGCATCGCCCAGAGACTCAGCACCACCTTCCCAACCAGCCCCCGAGCAAAGCAATTCTATGTACACAAGGTCATGGCAACTTCTCTGGAGCAGAAGGTCTTCCTTTAAAAAAGCCCAGGAGCAGTCAAAAGCAAGCATCCACTTGTAGATGGCCATGGAATGTGGTCACTTTATCCTCTGAACATGAGCAAAGCAACATTCAGCCACCAGTGGAGTCCCTGTGACAGTGACAGAGCTTTCTCCTGGGCTGTAATCAATTATGATGCTTAAGAGCATTATGTTTTAGAGAGAAATAAATAAATAAAACAGCTCTTTCTCTCCCTCTTTCTTTTTATTACGGTGCAAGGGAGACCCAATCCAGACAAATAAATCAAAAAGCCATTTTTTGGCCAACTGCTCATTTTAACAGAACACTTGTAAAATTGCTAAAGTAGAAATAAAATAGAAGAGTAATCTGCAATGCACAGTGTTGTTCTTTTCTCAGATCCCAGGGCTTTATCTCCCTTTGCTCCGTGTCAAGAAAGATATTAACATTTTTAATTTTTTAAAAAAGTGCATTTGGAACCTCTGAGCAAAGGCACAGGAGAAGCAGCCCCGGACCATGTGGAGTCTGCTCTTCCAATGTCTATATATAGCCACCACATTTCACAGGCACACACCACCCTGCACCCTATCCACATGCACACTGTGATCTGAGGCTTGCAGAAATCAGAATGCTGTGACGATGCCCTGAATCTCAGAAATCCACAAGAAAAGCCAAGAGATGGTTTCCCGATTGAATGAAAAAGGCTGGTTCAGCCGTTGCAGCGCCTTGGCGGCAGGGCAGGCTCTGCCCAGCTCTCCCGAGTGTGATCTGCATGGCTAATAATGGCACAGGTTCCTGGGATCAGCTGCTTACCTTGGAATGCTGCAGCAGGAGTACCTGCTCGTCGAGCTGCTGTCGTTTGCCTTCTATTTCCGTCTGTCGCTTTCTTTTTTCCTTGAAAATAAAAAGAGAGAGAGAAAGAGAGAGAGAGGCTGTCAGAGTGGGTGGGTGTTGGCTCTAGGAATGTGAAGGCAGGGAGCAGGAGCAGGAGCGGCACACATCTGTGCAGACACTTCCAAGAGATGCTGGGCACACACGCAGCGTCACCTGCCCCACCGTTGCTGGGTGTGTTGCAGGCAGCAGCCTTCTCCTAACATGTCTGCGGTGGGCTCGGCCAGTGGGAGAAATTCTCCTCACTCAGCCAGACTGCAACGATTTAATCCAGAAGAAAAGGCGGTTTCCACACACGCACACGCACACGCACACAGCCCTGTGCTGTGCAGTGTTAATTTGGAGACAAAGAATAAAAATCTCAATCCAAAAGACACAGGTTGTTACAAACTGGGAACAGGAGGGAATTAAACAAGGGTAGGAGGACCCCAGGGTCAGATTTCTTTTAGCAAAATCATATACATAAATAATGTGCTGCAATTTCAAATTTGGTAGGACAGATTATCCAGTGAGGCATACCAAACAATGTAAATGAGAGAAGTTATCTTTGATCTTTGCTTAAAGGAGCCATGGGGGGGAACGTTTCTTGGGGGTGGGGCTCCCTGAGATTTTGGCAAGTATGAATCTGAAACCTGACTGCATGCCTCCAGCTCTATATTTGCTACCTGTGTGGCTTCTGGTAAGTTCTTTCACTTCCCTGGGTCTCAGTCTTCTTCTACATCAAGTAGAGATAACAACTCTACCCAAGCCATACGGTTGGGATGTGGATTAAATGAGAGGATATATGCAAAAAGACTAGAACAAGGCCTGGCACACCGTAAGCACTCAATCATCGTTATTTGCTAATATTCCTATTGCACGTTTGCTTCCGGGGAGGTAATTATTGCCTAGAAACTGGTTTTAAAGGGATGTGTTTCCTTGGCATTCCCACATCCTTTCCACTACAGCATATACTGCATATTTTTTTTTCCTCCACCCTTCTCCAGTGCAGACAACAAACATCACAGGAATGTGGTTCATAAGAATAGAAAGGCCTTCCCCTATGAGAGCTTGCTTGTTTATATTTGTCTTCTAACGTGTACAGGAGGATTTATTGAGCCATGTACAGCACTGGACCATTCTCCTTTGCTCACATATGCAGGAAGACATTACAGCACTGTCTTCCTGGGGAAGACAAGGATGCCAAAGTCTGGCCACCCATTCCATGGATGGAAGCTTTTCTTTCATGGAACGCCATGTTTCTGAGATGTGACTGCACCACAGCTGTTGAAATCAATGTCCTAATCATGTGTGTTAAAGCCAACGTTTTCCACGCAATGAAGAGACTTTAAGAAATATTAGCTCTTTTTTTGGGTGGGGGGAGATGCTGGGAATTGAACCCAGGGCCTTGTGCATGCAAGGCAGGCACTCTACCAACTGAGCTATATCCCCAGCCCAGCATTTGCAGGAAAATGGATGCTGAAGTAAGCCAATCCCAAAAAACCAAAGGCTGAATGTTTTCTCTGATAAGTGGATGCTGATCCATAATGGGGGGTGGGGCAGCGCATGGGAAGAATGGAGGAATTTTGATTGGGCAAAGGGGAAGGAGTGGAGAGGAGGGGGGATGGGGGCAGGAAAGATGGTGGAATGAGACAGACATCCTTACCCTAGGTACATGTATGACTGCATATATAGTGTGACTCTACATTGTGTACAACCAGAGAAATGAAAAGTTGTGCTTCATTTGTGTACAATGAATCAAAATGCACTCTGCTGTCATGTATAACTAATTAGAACAAATAAAAAAATCTGCAAAACAACAACAAAAAAGAAATATTAGCTCACAAACTTGAGTCACTAGAATATAATACCTAAGTCAGGGATAGAATCTCCCTGCCAAAGTGAGACCTATCTTAGGAACTTATCATTCACCAAGGGACTCCAACCAATGGTGCATAATTGATGCTACTTAATCTCAGAGCATGTCCAAAAACAGATAATAATATGACAGTAAATGGGGAAAGTAAGGCCCAGTGGGAAGAGCACACCTGACCAGCATCTGAAAGGCACCACATGACAAGGCAAGAATGTCCAGGACCAGCTGCCATCTCCAGTCCCAGAAATTCTCTAGATGAGTTTACTGGACCTTATCGCTCATCGCTATTGACTATCAAGATATACAGTTTTCCTACATTTAAATCCAGAACAAGATATAGTGTTTTACAATACAAGATGCAGATCACAAATGTTGACTGAGTGCTAACTACACATCTTGTCACTTCCAAGACTTTCCCCGGCATTCCCACCTCTGTGCATTCACTCATATGCAAAGTTCTCACTCCAGAGTTGCCCATTGGAATGGTGAATCCGAGTGGGAACAATATCACCAGCTGGACTCTGTAGTGGACCTGTACATGCTCAAGCAGTAGACTCATCAGAGATCCCTGTAAACTGATATGGTCAAGGTGGACATAGGTTGCAAGTTAGTCCTTGAAGAATGGGTAGGGTATAGGTACATGTCGACCAATGGGCAGCTCATTCAAGGCAAAAAGAACTATGTGAGCAAGAGTAGAAGTGCTATGCATGTTCCAGAAAGAATGAGGAGGAAAATCTAACTGGGAGGGAATCAAAAGATTAACTAAGACTAGGCCATTGATGATTAGATCACGAAGTCTGAATTGTATTGTACAGACACTGCCCTATCTTTGTAAGGTTCTCAGCAAGAGCATTGATATGATATTGTATTTTAGAAACATTAATCTGGCGTTGGTGTAAAGGAAGGATGAATAGGGGTTGGGATACTTTTCCTGTAAAAGAAAAGTAAACACGTAGGCTGTATTAATATTTCCCCTAAGGAAGCACCTAACTGGATTCAAGTTCTAAACAAAAGAATTGTCAACATACACAACCAGACCGTGCCATTGGCATGTTACCATCTGTGTTTGACTGAGTGAGACCTTGGGTTTGGCATCAACAGCAGAAGAGGATTCTTTTCTAGATGAGTCCCTTGCACAGTGATGGGGTTAGGTCCCGAAGCCATTCCTAATTGGGTAAGAGGTAAGAATGCAATCAGCCTCTGTTCAGAATTAGGTACAAGTCCAAAAAAAAAAGGATTATGTTTAAGTCAAATCATGGTAAACTTGAGTAGGACCCCACTGAGGAACACACCTTTGGTCCTTGACATTGGCCTGATGGATGGCTGAGGTCTGAGCTGTGCTCCTCACCTGGCTAGCTGTGCTCCTCACCTCTCAGATTTCTCCCTCCCTTAACTAAGACAAACCCAGTGACTCTTGGACCCTTCTTTCCCATCCACTCCAAAGCTCTTGGGTTCCATCTCCACTTTGAGGCCCAGGTCCCCGTATTGAACTAGCAACCTTTCAGGGCATCCCTCCAATTCAACACATGCAATCGCTCTCTCAGTCATCCCTCGCTGGCTACCTTCAGGCCCATTCCTCTTTCTACGTTCTTCATCTCAGCAACTGACCCTACTCAACTCAGATATCTGTCACCCTAGACATTCATCCTACTGAAAGTCAGCGTCCGTTGATTCTGCTTGCCGTTTTCCTCATCTTTTGCCTCCACACTGCCCTAACGTTCCCCTTTATCTCCTTACCTGCCCATTGGAACTATTCCTCATCAGGACCTTTTACTCCCCAGTGAATTCAGCTGCTTGCATTTCATCTTCATCTGGATTACTGAAGGCATTTCCTCACTCATCTTGCCTCCATGCCTTGCTTTCTCTAAGCCATTTCCCACACTACTGCCAGAGTGACATTTTAATACTGAAGTCTGACCATCTGCATCCTTTGCCTAAAGCCCAGGTGTCTCCCCACTGCCTATAAGACAAAGCAATGGCCATTGAGGCTCCTATCTCACAGCCTCATCTCCAGCTGTGACCCCTGAGCCATATGCTCCAAGCTCAATAAGAGCTTGCAAGTATCGAGACTTGCTAGGCTGGGCTCATGTTTTCTGCCTTTACTCTTACTGCTTCTCCTAACACTAATGGAAACCTCTTACTGCTTCATTTGACACACACTATTCATCTCTGACAGCACAGCTTAAATATCAATGAAGTTATAGTGACCACCTGTCAGTTTTGATCAGTCTAGTCTTCCTTCCCCTGGGAACACTTCTACACTCACTGTAAATGGAGTTAGTGGGAATGCTAGTTATGATCAGTCACAAATACCCCAGCTCATCCTTGTCACCGGGACTTGCACCTGTACCAGTTTAGGCCAATCATACTACCTTATCCCCTTGCAATAGTGACTGCTCTAAGGAGAGGCTCAGTGACCCAAGTGGGACCAACAAGAGATATTCTAGGGTCAGATGCATAAATATTTGCATTTAAAAACCTCTCCCTTCTTATTAGGGTTAAGCTGAGATGATATGCATCTGAATGGCAATTTTCCCAAGCCACATAGAAAAAAAGAACCTATGTTGGAGAAAATATGGTCAACGCAAAGAGAGAAGTAAAGTTTCAAGACAGAGAAAACAGGATCCTAATACATTATTTGGACCCAAGATCTAGTCACGCATGAAGTTAGTTCCATCGCTCAGCTTCCTAAATTATCTATATTAATAAATCTCCTTTTTGCTTGAACTAATTTGACTAATGTCTTTATCACTTACAACTGAAAGGGTACCGATAAACAGTGAAGCCTTTTTCTGCTCCCTTCAAAAAGAGCTCCACGCCCCCCCCCCTTTCTCCCTGCTCTGCATGGGCTATAGATTTTCCACGTTAGTATCTTGAGTACTTCACAGTTACACATCTTCTCCATCAATCAAACCATAAGCTCCTGGAGGACCAGAATCTGGGCTGATACATCTCTAAAGCCTAGAGAGAGTATTGCATAATGAACTCATGTGTATTTCTAAATTAATTGTGTGTGGTGTGTGTGTGTGTGTGTCTGTATCCCTCTTTCAAATGCAAATCTATAGCCCATGCAGAGCAGGGAGAAAGGGGAAATCATGGAGGTCTCTTTGGATGGAGCAGAAAAGGCTTCACTATTTATCGGTACACT